GAGCGGGAACCGGTCTGTATGTGGGATCCGAACCCTTGGGTGGGAGCACCGCCGCGCTTCCCAAGCGGTGCACTATCCAGTGCGCCACCGGGCCGGCCCAAATATTTTGATAATGTTTTATTTCCTATTCTAGATGGTAAATAAACATTTATAGATTACTTTTTTATAATTGAAATCTAATACATTAAAATAAGGATCAGTACTAAGTGAGATGGTACAATAGTCAGTATTCTTCAGTAAATTACTGATAGAGGTAGTTAACAAATAGATTCACAAATTTAATTAGCAAATATTTCATAGAGGTTAAGGACTACTTGTGCTTTATTTTTATTTATTTGTTCTAAAAAATTATTTATTTACTTTTGATTATACATATTTATGGGGTACAAAATTGACTATCAGTATTTGTATACAGTATGTGATAATCAAATCAATAGTATTAACATGTTCATCATCACATATCATAATTACTCTTTGTTTCCCTTATCCAATTACTCTCTAATCCCCCCCTCCCTTTCCCCCTCTGGTGACTATAGGCCTTTTCTCTCCTTCTGAAAGTTCGGTGTTTTATTGTGGTCTCTCTCTCTCTCTCTCTCTCTCTCCCCCCTCCCTTCCTCCCTTCCTCTCTTTCTTTTTTTCTTTCCTTTCTTAGCTCCCACTTATGAGTGAGGACGTGTGGTATTTCTCTTTCTGTGCCTGGCTTATTTTAGAAAGGGAATCTTTACATGCTTACAGTTTTTAAACATCAGAATACTGTAAAAAAAACATGTCAATGTAAATTGTTTTGCTTTGTAATAATTTTAATTGTGATCTATTTTGTTTCTTAAAATGCATATTCTTGCTTTCTTTTTTCTTTTTACGTTTCAGGTATGGTATTTGGTCTTGTAGATGTGAGCACTGCCAATTTTCAGAAGGATTATTATCTGAAAATCATTGAGGAATCAGTATTGCAATTTAGTTATGATATTTCATCTGGCCTGATAGCAATATTTGTAGCATACTATGGAGGGAGAGCAAAAATAACAACATGGATGGCAGTTTCCTCCTTTTTAATTGGAGTTGGGTCACTTTTCTTTGCCTTTCCATTCTTTAATAATAGAAATTATGAGTTTGAGGTAGAAATAGAAGGTAAGATTTTTAAATATACTGTCATACATCCAATCAGTATTTACTTAAACCATTGGCTCAAGGAACTTAAATAGACTGTGATTCCTGTCTGTCTGCATATCCATCCATGCATATCAATTTATGTGACCAAGATTACTAATTAATTGTAGCTCCCTACTGAACTTATATGTCATAATCATACACCTTTTCATATAAGAGATGAGCCCAGGGAGGAGGTGAAAAAATATTCTGGGATACTTATTTTGTGAAATTGTTTTTCTTTTATCAATTACTATATATTATGACTCTCTTGAGAACTTCAGTAATTCCTTATGTCTCCCACAATGTGTTTTAATTAATCTCTTTATTCTTGCCTTGTGTGTTGAGGTGAGAATAAAGGGATTGATTAAAACATGTTGTGGAAGACACATACAAAAAAGGGTCAGACTCCTTTTCTAGCTACTCCTACCATTCCAAAATGGGAGCCGCTCTTTGACATAGTACTTGAATCTAAAAAGATTGGTGACTTCTTCAATTGTTTTTTATTTTCAATCTATTCCACAATCTTTTCGTTATTCTTACTAGATAGAGGCTTTTTGAAATTTCACAGAACTATATTTTTTGTGTGTGTGTTTCTTAGAAAGCTACTGATTTTTTGGGCCGGCCCCGTGGCTCACTCGGGAGAGTGTGGCGCTGGTAGCGCTGAGGCTGTGGGTTCGGATCCTGATAGGGATGGCCGGTGCGCTCACTGGCTGAGCGTGGTGCAGATGACACCATGCCAAGGGTTACGACCCCCTTAACGGTCAGGAAAAAAAAAAAAAGAAAGCTACCGATTTATTGATCCTCCTTTGGATACTAATATACTTAAAGAAAGTGGTTTTCAAAACTTTATTTTTTCATTGAAGCGTAATTGGTTATACATATTTTTGGAGTACAGCATTGACTACCATCAGCTGTGTATAACATGCGATGATCAAATCAATATTATTAGCATATTCATTATTACAAATAGTAATTATTCTTCATGCCCCATACCCATCTCTCCCCAATCCCCCTCTCCCTCTCCCCCACCTACCTCTGGTAAGCATAGACTTGTTCTCTCCTGGAAGTTCAACATACTTCTGTGGTCTTTTCTTTCTTTCCTTCTCTCTTTCTCTCTCTCTTTCTTTCTGTCTCTCTTTCTTTCTTTGCATCCACTTATCAGTGAGGACATGTGGTATTATGCAGTATTTCTCTCTCGTGTCTGGCTTATTTTACTTAACATAATTTTCTCTGAGCTCATCCATGTTGCCACAAATGGCAGAATTTCATTCTTTTTTTTATGGTAGAGTAGTATTCCACTGTATATACATACATAACACATTTTCCTTATCCAGTAGTCTGTTGATGGACATTAGGTTGATTTCATGTCTTGGCTATTATAAATAGACCTGCGATGAACATGGAATTCCACCCCTTTGAAGTGGAATTGCTGGATCTAAATAGGTGTTGTTAGATGAATTGTAGGGCATTTACAGGGTGACTCTGCACTTTGTATTAGAGAAGTAGAAATAAAGTAACAGTCTTTATAGTAGAAGCGCTCATTTCATACATCTATCTATGCAGATGTTTTACTCATTGTGTTTGAAAGTTTAGTTCTTACATAATGACTTTTCTACTCTATGTTCATATCTTAGTTTATACATACACACAAACACACACAGAGAGAGTTTCTATATTCTCTTATTTTATCCTTTTTTCTCCTATCCTTCTCTTTTTTCTTTTCTGCATATCTCTCTGACTCTGTCCTCCTTCTATAATCTCCAGTCAGCTGTTATGCTCATCTTCTCTTATGAGTGGTCTGAACCTGTCTGGTACAGTCCATTTACAACCACTTCCTACTCTTTTTCTCTTCTCCCCAAACCCCATCCCAGTTATCTGTACTCATGATCTGTTAATCTCCACCCCTTGTGACTAAGATAACAGATAGATATCATACATCTCTGAGACATTAAAATTGAGTTTTCTCCACAAGTTCATGAAAATACCTGCATCACATTCTGATCTTTAGTTCCTGGAGATCTACATATAAGTGACCACCACACACACCCATGGTTTCAGCACACTTTCACTTTACTGAGAACTTCCTAAATGTCTATTACCCAGCTCTCTGACTATACCCACCAATTCTTTAAAGTTACTCATATAACAAAGACAGAAAAGTTCCTTCTTTTCAATGGAACCTCCAGTACGGTAATACCTACTTTCTCCCTTTATCAGATTTTCCTTGTTGTTATTTCTCTTCATTTATAGCTGATTTTATGTTCCTTAATATGAAATACTAGCTTTTTGCAAACACACTCTAATCATTATCCTAAGCTATGTTGTTCCACTGTCCTTTCTTATCCCACCCTATAAAACTTTTGATTGAACCATGCATCTTTTATTTACCTATTACACATAGGCTGCTGATTAGTCCTATAATGAATTTGTTGCTGTCAACCTCAATTGTCAGTTGTGCTCTATGATGGATCTGTTCTCCTGAAAACAGTTTTTCTTTTTAGTTCACTCTCTTCCATAATTCACAACAAGTATTTCAGACTTTCTTCATTTAACTCTTATCTTTTGCATTGGATGGGAAATACAAGTCATAAAAGAAAATTGCTTTCAGTTCTTTACATAGAATTTATAATTCCATCTATATTTGCAGGTTGATATTCTTTGCTTCTTCCTTCCTGTTAAAATGGAAGAGTTGTCCCCTGCTAAACATTCTGTATTCTGTGCTTCCTTGGGGACTTTGTTCCACTGTGATTTTCTCCCTCCTCTTTCTGCACATCCTCCTATCACTGGCACTTAAATGTGCTCAAGTTCTTCCCATTCTTAAACAATGGAAGCAATAACAGACATGTTTTGCAGTTCTCTTTTTAGAAATTTACCTATCTTCCTAATTTTAATGGATAAATTTTTTGAAAGAATTGTCCATACTTCCTGATTTTATCTGCTATTCTTTCTTAGTCCACTTTAATATGCATTTCACCCTAAATGCTGCAACAGAATTATTTTCACCAAGTTATCAATGCAATTCATGCTATTTAATACAATGAAAACTTTTTATTGTTATATTTCCTGGACTATCACCAGCATTTGGTAATACTGGCCACCCCCTCCATCTTGAAATTCTGTCCTCTCTTGATTGCTACTTTGTATGATCATATAACTTATAGTTCAAAAAAGAAATATTTTTAGTATGAAAAAGAGCACTAAAAGATTAGTTTGGGTCTATTGGTTGAAAATATTTGCTTTCAGATATTTGTCAACAGGAAGCTAGGAAGCCTAGGACTGTGATCCCTAGGAGAAGGAAATCAAACAAGTTGAATTTTCTGGGAACATGTAAGAGTAAATAGACTAGAGATATATTTTTTGATTATCAGGAGAATGCAGGACCTCCTTGAGTTTATTAATCTTGAATTCAAAGTAGGATTTGCAAGATTGTGTGTTTTTCTCCAGCCACATTCAGCTTTAAAAGTGTGTAGGTATAGAGTCGGGGAAAGAATTAATTTGACTAGGGCTGCAGTTTTACCAGGGGCATGACCTGAAAGAGAGCAAAAAAATTAAAAGTGTTCTTATGACAATGAGAGAAGTAAGGACATGAAGGGAACATTAGGATAGTGAAAAGGAACAGAGTCAATGGATTATAGGCCCTGGTGAGTTTTTTTTTTTTCCTTTTTGTCTTTTGTCGTGTCCGGCAACCGGTCTGTATGTGGGATCCGAACCCTCGGCGGGAGTGCCGCCACGCTTCCAAGCGGCGCACTGTAGCAGTGCGCCACTGGGCCAGCCCTGGCCCTGGTGAGTTTTTTTTTTTTCCTTTTTGTCTTTTGTCGTGTCCGGCAACCGGTCTGTATGTGGGATCCGAACCCTCGGCGGGAGTGCCGCCACGCTTCCAAGCGGCGCACTGTAGCAGTGCGCCACTGGGCCAGCCCTGGCCCTGGTGAGTTTTAATGATTCTTGGAATTGGGTTACTAGAAGGAGTGAGCTGGAAAGATAGTGGTGATTAGACTAGATGCTTGAAATTGCAATTAGGGAAGGTTTATAGTTATTATTTTTGACATTTAAAATGAGTAGCTGAGGTGGGTGGAGTACAATGTGTGAGAGGAGAAGAGTTCAAGGAACTAAGAGGGAAGGTTGTTGGAAATATCACACTGATACTGTTCTCACCACAAGTTAATATGTATGTCTGTATAAAATTGAACCATCAGCATTTGAATCACAATTCTAGAGACTTCCTCCCATTTGATATGGACTAACATATCATCCGATACGGATACTAAGCCAGTTGAAAATTTCCATTTGTGTACTATTTTGTAATCTGCACATTAAGAAGCTTTCCACCCTAATATGTTAGGAGCATTTGTTAAATTTCAACCAAAGTGGTCACAATCAATATGATCTAATAGTATTGCCTGTATCTACCAATCTAATAATAAATATAATTACACATTTATTTAGTACTGTTCTATAACCATGTGAATAAAAAAAGCATAAGAAATACCCACATACTGTGACCTAAAGGAATTTAAAATCTAGTGGATGACCATGTAATAACTAACTCTAACAGAAAGAAATTGTGTTGTGTAATGCCTTGTGCTTATGAAGCTGTGTTCTAGAAGTTAGTGAGTCTAAAATGAGAAATTATTTACTTAGAGTGATGTAAAGTCAATATAAAGAAGTGGACATAGAACTAAACTCAGAAGGTAATCTTTGATAATTCAGGTAATCCAGAACATTAGAAATAATTTTATCCTGGTGTCCAAAGTCAGGTCAACCAGATGCCAAATTTAAGAAGAATTATGTATGTATATGTATTGTGAGTGTGTAAATGTATATGTATACAAACATATCTATGCACACTTAAGTGTGTGTATACAATTGTGCATGCACATTTATATTTTGGTTTATACATGTAAAATATCTGATAAAGAATACTGCATATTTGTTATGTTTAACTTCTGAATTCTATTTACAAAAATGTAATTATTTTCTTTTCAAAAGATATTTGCCAAGAATCAATGGTTATCAAAACTTGCCAGAAAAGCACATTATCATTCCAATCAAAATATGTATCTTTCTTCATCCTTGGGCAGACTGTGCAGGGAATAGCAGGAATGCCTATTTATATCCTTGGATTAACCTATATTGATGACGATGTTGCCACACACTCATCTGATACCTATCTAGGCAAGTTTTTTCCCCCTCTAATACAATTGCCCCATTTTGAATTTTCATTAAACTTTCATATTTTGGTGTGCATATTTAAACTGATATAGAAGTGCTAATTATTAACCCTCATGATAACATGGTAATAAATGGTAACTGGTATGCTTAACTTTAAAACCATGTTGAGCCACTAAATTCTGAGGAGGTGCTTGAGATTAGACAAGTCATCTGAAGGTCACTGAAAATATATAGAGCAATAGAAAAAATATATAGTTTCTTAAGTAATAAAAACTATACGTATATATAGTCATATTAAGCTATGTAGGCTGATGTTCATTTCTCTAGGAAAAAAATGTAAAATTACTGGGTTGAACTGCTTGAGTAATTGCATGTTTAAACTTTGGGGATGCAGGTGGGAAGCTGCTGCCATCATGTCCATAAGGGAAATAGGACATTGTTTTATACCTCTTCAGTACTACAGTCAGTGTGGTGCTGAAATAATTATCATCATACTAAGCTCTTTATGTATATTAACTCATTCTTTTTTGGGCCTCTGATATTTTGAAGTTAATTGAAAACATAATGTTGTTCACCCTATGAAGGAGAGAAATGATATGTTATTTAAATGAACAGTGTAGTATCCCCTATTTATAATGTCTTCTGCTACTATATCCTACAGTAAGTAATCCTGGATACACCTCAGAATAATGTGTACTTTCTTATATTGCAGTAAATTCTGGTCCTGATAGAGCCTCTATTTGTTTAGGGTTATCTAATTCACATTTTTGAAAAAAAAATAAAGTTGTTTCTATATACTTATTGTGAAAGTTACTTAAAAGAAAATAGAATTTTGCACCAAAAATAATTATTTTGCAGAAGAAGTAAGAAAAGTCATGCCAATAAACGAAAGTAGATTATATTCATATTTATGTTTGCTTTTAGAAAAAAAATTGCAGTAATTTATTAGCATTGGTCAAAGGTGGCAGAAAATCTTCTGGTTTTACTTTTGGTTCCACTTAATAACAATTAAAACACACATCTATACACTGCAGAGAAAAGCTTACTGTATTGACACATCTTGCCACCCTGGCAGCTAAGGTGAAGGATGGAAAAGTTATCATAATGTTTAAGCATCATCTTACTATAGTACCACAAATTAAAGTGAAATAAGGTATATTAAGTTTATATTTATATTAAATATAAACATATTTATTTATATTACATAAATATATTGATTAAATAATGTATAATGAATTATATAATTAAATTATCTGAGTTTCTCTAATACATGCATTGGTCAATATGCATGATGGTTAATTTTACATGACAGCTTGACTAATTTATGGCACCCAGTTGTTTGGCCAAACACTAATCTAGATGTTTCTGTGATGCTATTTTTTTTTTTTATGTGATTAACATTTACAATCAGTAGACTTTGAGTAAAGCAGATCACCTCCATAATGTAGGCAGGCATCTTCCAATTGGTTGAAGTTCCTAAGAGCCAACCCTGAGGTTTCCCAAAGAAGAAGCAATTCTGCTCAATACTGCAACATCAACTCTTACTTGAATTTCCAACCAGCTGGGCTGCCCTACACATTTAGAACTTGTTAGGTCCCACAATTGTTTGAAATGTTTTTTTAAAATCCATCGGGGTGTGTGTGTATATAATGTTGGTATTATACATATATAATATTGGTTCTCTTTCTCTGGAGAACTCTAATACAGAATGCTACAAAAAGCTTTCAGAAGTACTTCATTTCAGTCAATTAACGTTTATCATCTTATGACAAAGCTGGCTTAAGAAGTTGCTTGATATTCAGTATTCACTTATAGGCCTTGCAGAAGCTTCAGGAGAGGTTGGATATTCTCTGGATTACGTGATAGGGGCACAATTTCTGAAGGCCTCTGAGAATAGCACTTCTGAGAACAAGTAAGGCATTTTCTTTCTTTCCCTTTTTTTGTTTACATTGTATAAAATATTTATTGAATAGGCACTACAGCTTATAAATAAATATGTATATTTAATCTGTGATAACCATATTTTTAGAAAAATGTATGCAAATGTGACTTATACGCACCTATATGTACATCTATATGAACACCTATAAATAAATCTAAAATATACAATTTAAACATTTTTAAGTGTACAGTACAGTAGTGTTATCTATATGCACATTGTTTTGCCACAGGTATTTTATCTTGAGGAACTGAACTTTTTATCTTGAGGAACTGAAACTCAATGTTCCTTTAACAACTCTCCTTTTTCCCTTTTCCCCAGCCCCTGGCAACCATCAATCACTCTGCTTTCTGTTTCTAAGTGTTTGACTACTTGAGATTCCTCATAAAATTGGAATCTTTCAGTATTTGTCTTTCTGTGAGTGGCTTATTTCACTTAGCATAATATACCCAAGTCTCATGCATATTGTAGCATATGACAGGATTTCCATCTTTCTTTAGGGCGGATGATACTCCTTTTCATTTTGTTGATAGTTTCCTTTACTGTACCAAAGGTTTTAAGTTTGATGTAGTCCATTTATATATTTTTGCTTTATTGCCTATGCTTTTGGTGTCTTATCCAAGAAATGATTGTCAAATCCAGTGTCATGAGGCTTTCTCCATATGTTTTTTTCCTCTAGGAGTTTTATAGTTTCAGGCTTTACATTTAGATCTTTATTTATTTTTCAGCTAAGTTTTGTATACGGTGTAAGATAAGGGTCCAACTTTATTCTTTTCATGTGGGCATCCAGTTTACCCAACACCATTTTTGAAGAGACTATTTTTTGCCTATTGTGTAGTCTTGTCACCCTCGTCTAAGATCATTTGATCATTACATGAGGGTTTATTTCTAAGCTTTTATATTAGTGCATTTCCTGTGGCTTATAACAACATACCTGAAGCTGGGTACTTTATAAAGAAAATTAAATTTATTTCTGATAGTTTTGGAGGCTGGGAAGTTTAACGTCCAGGGAACACATCTGGTGAGGGCTTTCTTCTTGGTGGTGACTTTCTACAGCAATGCAGGGTATTAGATGGCAAGAATGGCCAGAGCAAGAGAACTAACCTTCTCAGTCACTCTTCTTATAGAGAGAATCACATCTGTGACTCTAATTTGTTGAGTGGTTTTTTTTTTTTTTTTTTTAATCATGAAAGGGTGTTGAATTTTGCCAAATACTTTTTCTGAATCCATTGACATGATCATGTAGTTTTTTTTCTTCATTCTTTTTTTTTTTTTTTTTTTTGTCTTTTTTCC